TCCCCATCCCCTGGATCACAATTATGAAGCAAAGGGGAGGGGAGAGGTTTGCCACAAATACTGAATTAATGGGTAGTTCAAGGTTTTGCAAAAAAGCACTCTAGCCTTGCACTTTGCTCCATGAAAATCACTTATGCAATGGAGGCATTGATTTGAAGAGGGTGGTGGGCAGGGTAAGAGGTGTTCTCTCTGCCACTTTACCAGCTGTAGGCTCCAGAAAAATAATTTTTCCCCCTTGCCATTACTTCCCCGTCTGCAAAATTAACCTGTGGTATTTTAGTCAAGCCACCAGAAAGACAAGATTCTCCCCAAAGTAGATTTTTCTGTATAATAATTAAGGTGCAGAGGGCAGTGGCTACAGACCCTGGCAATCTCTTTTCGGTCTCCCCAGTACTCAGGGTAGTCCTAAGAAAACTTGTTAGGCAAAATCAACCGCGCTCTTGACAGTGGACCCCCATAATTAGAATTGTGTTAGTGGATGAAACTAACCCCCCCCTCTGGGGGAGGGTGCTAACTAAAGTGCCCAAGGTCACACATCATGCAGACAGGAAAGATGAGTCCAGCTGGGGAGGGCAGGTGCCCTGCAGGAGGCTCGCACCCCACTCTGGGAAGGGGTGCAGCCTCAGCTCTCACCAGCCCCAGGTAAGCTGCATACAGGACCGCGGTGGAGAACCAGCGCAGCCTGCTCGTAGCCCGGCCACTCCTCCGGGAGGTCGCCGAGGCCGGCTCGCTCTCCACCGGGGTCTCCTCCTGGTGGAGCCGCTGTGCAGCTGCCGCGGACCCCGCGCTCCCGGTCTTCACGTCCAGCTCCAGGTCGGCAACTGTTGCGAACTCTTGCTGCGAGCGGACTCTCCGTGACTCTGTACTCCGGCTTCTCCAGGCTCCAAGGTCCCTCCAGGCACCACCTTCCCCTAGGGACCGTCCCGACTCAGGACCTCGGACGGCTGGACTTCGACCCTGGCCCCAGCTGGTCACTGAGAACCTTCACTCAGCATCTTGCAGAATCCCCTGGGCTTCCGTGATGGAAGCAGGACTCTGGCCAACCAAGAGGGAGAGTCAGATCGGAAGTAATTGTGGTTGCCTAGGAAACCGAACTCTCCGTGAGTTTGAGCTGCTGCTGCAACCTGGCAACAGCCCCTATAAAGCTTGTGAGGCTAAGCTTGAGGGAACTGGCAGGCACGGGAGGGGAGGTGGTCCTTACAAGTCCCATCTCTGTCTTGTGTCCACTCCTGAGCTCTCCTGGTCTGTTATTCAGCTTTCAGGCTACAGACACTTAATGAAGTTCTGGAACAGGTTCTTGGAGCCATAGCAATCCTCACCAAACTCCGCTGTCACCATAGCTAGGTGTCCAGAGAGGATCTAGGTATAGAGGGCTCGCCCAAGGTCAGTCAGCAATCACTGGCCTCATCAACAGCCAAATATCTCAAGGCACATGTGTGGATTCAAAAATGGGGTTTCAAATGCACACCAGCCCAAATTCCCTCAAATGACTGAAGCCTGGCACCTATTGTCATGGTTGCTGAGAACAGTCATATCAGCTGAGAGAGGCTGTACCATTATGGAGTAGGGGGGGCTTTTTTTTCCCCCATTTGCTTCACTCAAGCCAACAATGCGATGTGTTAATCATCTATCTAAAATATGTTCTATCAACTTGAAAACCTCCTCGGTCTCTACATCATTGGTTTCTTACACTGAGAAAACATTCTTTGATAAGATCATTGGTCAAGAACCAAGCTGGAAAGATTTTTGTTTTTGTTAAACAACAACAAAAAACCTTATGCCGGTAATTACTCAGCTGCTGACTCCTGTCAAGGGTTGCTTATTATTTATTGAATCCTTACGACAGAACAAATCATTATTTATGTTTAATGACACTAAAGAAGTGTAACAATTTGTAATCTGTTATGCCATTTAATTCAATACCAGATTATGATGGCCATGCAAGTTGTTGATAAAATCAGGAAAAGAAAAACTACAACAAACTGTAACTGGCCCTCAGCAGGATAAAACAATTTTTAGGGAAAAAGAGACTAATTATAACTCATTGATAAAACCTAACTTGGGAATTATAACTCACAGTGTCAGATTAGTATTCAAAATTCCCAGTCTCTTACAGATACACATAAAACCTTAAACTTCAGGTTTTTAAATATCTCTAATTCAGAGTCTGCTGTCTTTTTAAAATCTTTCCAAAGACAGGAGGCTTGCCCTCACACTCCACTGCCCCCACCCCCATGCACTCCGAAGCTGAGGATCTCTAGCATGTCTGTGCATGCCACAGCTGTCTGTGGACTCCCAGATCGCTCCTGGACATCCTCCACTACTCCAGCCAGTGGCTTTGCTCTAAGATTCAGTATTCAAGCCACACAACCTTATTTGCATGGGCTTAACACCAACTTTTGAAACATCATCCCTGGCCATGGCTTTATTTCAAAATCTTCGAATCTAGTATTCCCTTTTCTTGCCACAACTTCCCATCCCGTATTTCCATTTTCATCACTTCTGTTACACCTGCTCTTTGATTTTGGGGTCATCCTTTGATGACTCCATATCTCCCCATCTCTCCCAGTCTGTCGGCTCTCTCTGTCTTAGTCTGTTCCCTCCCTCACTGAAGTGAATGTGGACTCTAGGGCACCTCCGTGAATGGTCTCAGTGGCAAGCTTACTACTTGACATGGTGGTGGTTTTACCTACAAATTAAATAACTCTAGTTTCTTTGACCTTCGGTTAAAACAGTGATTAATTTGTTCTCTGTCAACTTCACACATGTGTATATAGTACAGTATAATACATTACACCCCCTACCCTCTCTTATCTTCCTCCTGTTTGTCCCCTCTCCCCAGGTCCCTTTCTCCACTTTCATGTCTGGCTGGGTGTTTTGTGTTGTGTGGGTTGGTCAAAAAAAGAGGTCATTTCAAGATGAAATTTTGAGGTCTGTGTGGCAGCAGGAAGGTCCAGCCTCTGATGAACTGAAGCCTGAACAGCTGGGCAGAGGTGTATTTATTGGTTCTTTTGGGGCTTGGGGTTCAAGACAGGCTTTGGAGGCTGACCTGGAACTAGCTCTTGTAGACCAGGCTGGTCTTGAGCTCACAGAGATCAGCCTGCCTCTGCCTCTACTTATTGGTTCTTACACAGCATTGATTTTGAGTAAAGTATTTCCTCATACCAGGTCCTATTTAATGTATCTCTCTAAAGGAGAGCATCACTCGTCCTCATGAAGTACTGTGTGACTCTGAAAATGTGATTCATATTTGTCCAGAGGCTTTGCTGAAGGAAGTAAGGAAGTAGGAGAGAATTGTGAGGTGTGTGTGTGTGTGTGTGTGTGTGTGTGTGTGTGTTGTGTGTGTGTTGAAAGGGAGATGTAGCTGAATGTGCAGAGAGAAACAAGTGTGAAGAGATGTGGCTGAGAGGGTGGAGGGTGGAGCTGTATAGAAGAGAGATGTGTATGCAGAAGAGATGATGTGAAGGAAGAAGTATATGGCTGTGTGGAGAATGTAACTGTGAAAATAGATATAACTCTATAGAGATAGGAGGCTGTGTAGAAGACAGATGTATGTATATAAAGAGATGTATGTATGTATGTATGTATGTATGTATGTATGTATGTATGTAAAGAGATTTATATGTGCGGAGAGACCAAAAGAAAGAGATTGTTCAAGATGAAGTGAAAGAGAAGGTTACCATTAGGAAAGTGTGTTTCCTTATTTATGCTCAAATAGAAGTCTGGCCCTCAGAGAGGAAATTCTCTTAAGTCCCCACTGCTCTGAAGGCCTTCTTTTAGACCTGGGAGCTGCCATCCCAGTCTGCAGTACTGTACCTTTTGTGGTTGAATTTTTTATTTAATTTAAATCTTAAATAATTAGGAGAATTTTCTTTTGAATGTTTTAGGAGTAATTTGTAGTCTCCATCGAGGTAAGGTCTGTTGTTTCTCAGTAAACATCCTTTCAAGGATATTAATATCAGAGGCAGCTATTAAGATATCATCTATATTGGGTTTCTGCTTAAATTAAAGACGCGCTCTATGGAACATGAACCGTGGAGGGTACATTAAACAAAGTTTATTACAGGTGGGGGAGGGAGAGAGCCGAAGACAACAGAGAGAAGAAAGCAAAGAGAAGAGGCCGTGAGAGTAGGAGAAGAGAGAGTAAGTGGGCAGGGGTCTGTCTTTTAAAGGGGTCCTCTACACCTGCATGCAGACCTAGTTCTCATGGAACCCTGGGCTGACCAGGGTACTGCCTGAGTGGATTCTGCCAGGTAACAGGGGCAGGCCAGCATAATGCCTGAACCTTTCAATCTA